TCCCAAGATAGCACCCAATCTTCATCCCTCCATGCAGCGATATCCCTGTTCCATCTGATGCTATCTCTGTAAATGGGATGTTATCAGTATCCAAGATGATGCTATCGCCATACAGTGTGGAGATATTGGATTCTAATTCATGGGCTCCCCTGCCTAGACGGAGATATGTGAGGCTCTGCAGGCAAAGCCAGTCCATCTGTGGCTTACTTAGGATGAGGGATTGAATGGAGCTTTATGCTCCGTAGTTCTGGCTGTGTGGCCCCCAGGCCAGAGTTGTCACAGTACCTGTTCATGCTGTATGCTTTAATGAGGACAGGAGAGGGAGATGATGGAGAGTCAATTACGACCTCATGTTGGAGAGTAACACTATTTCACCTTTCATTACACCTCAATGCCATGGGCTAACTGGGTCTCATCAGTTAGTGAAAGGTACTCATGCTGAGAAAGCCACGCTCAGGTCGGTCTTGTGTGGAAGTGAGGAAAAAGGGAGGTTAGAGGAAGATTTTGAGCTCCCAAGTCCTCCTTTGTACTGTGACATTTCACAAAAGAACTTTACAGCAGCTTTGAAATAGGATGTTCTTCAAAAGTCGTCCGTGCTTTGAATTGAAAATCTCGTCTAAACACAAAACAATATAACAATCACACATGCAATGATTTAATGTGAGCCTTAAGCATATTCTCAAATGTTGGTCTTTACTTATCTCAACTACAGAGAGGAAAGCAGATCATTATATAAAACAGGCTCATATTAGATGGACATTTACTTCTAATTTCTTTTGCTTTACAGCTATGATTCATCACATTATTGTAAGAAGTCTGTTTTCCGATCTGCTTCTGTTTTAGGAAACACTAACACTCTCATGTCTGCTAGATATGAAACAACAGACTGACTTATTAACATATGTCTTGTTTCTTTAAACCAGGGGTAGGCAACTTGTGGCTCCAGAGACACATGCATCAACAATTGTTTAGAAAATAATAATGGCTATATTTTAACATTTCAATTTCCAATTTCAATTCCTATTTCATTCATTGTCGTAGGCCTCGAGTGATTCTTACATTTTCCTTTGTAAAAATGTGAAGCCTATACACAGAATAAAAAAATGTTTTTACATTTCATTCACTAAATGTGCATCATAAGGTTATCGCCTTTTCCTTTGAATTTTACTGAACCTCAATTGCGATCGCTTGTCTTGGATCTCACAGCTAAGCTAAGCTAAGCTAAGCTAGCTATGGATTTCAGATTTTAAAAAAGTCTTAGAGGACAATCCACCTTATTCCTGAAGGCACCACTGTAGAAATTATTATGTGTACAACTTCCAGTGAGATAGCGGAAGTAGCAGTAAGCTAGTTAGGAAACATCGCAGAATGTGTTGGTATCTCTTAATAAGTCATCAGCAATCAGAAATCACCTTTAGAGGGAGCGGATGTTTACCTTAAGCTAGCTTGGGCTGTGTTAAAGTGCACAATATTTAGACAGAGCAATGCGAGCTAATTGCTAGCGTGCTCAGTTGAAAATGGGGAAAAAAGAAAAACAGTGCTTTGAGATGCTGTCAGAGATGGCAGAGGTATGATCACATCCCGCTTGAGCTTTAACAGGTGGTGTGTTCTTCGTTTTATTTCCCAGTTGCTGTTGGAAACAAGAACAGAGTACTGTAAACAAAGTGTTACCATTGGAAATCGCTGGTTTCGGTTCAGTGCTGGAAGTTGCACAAATAATTCTTGCAAGGTGCCATAGGGGCTAGGAATAAGAACATATTTGTTTGCTTTCACCGCCAACCCTGCAAAGTTAAAGTACCAATAAAAGTAGCCACCTTTTGCTGAAACATATTAATAAATGCTCATTTAGACCGATTAGTAGTGTTGATGGGTGAATCTAGACTTCTAGACTATTCGCAGCTCCAGGCAGATTCTTTCAGAGCTTTCTTGGCCAAAAATTGCTCTTTTGACGGTAAAGGCTGCTGACCCCTGCTTTAAACAGCAGAAATTTGTGGTTTTATGGAAGCGTATGTGATGGACTATTTTTGGCAGCAGTAGCTCATTCCATAGGGACTTGCACAGACCATGTACATGGAGTGCAGACTGGTGGATGGAGAGGTGCTGTTTTGCCTTTTCAGCACTGCGGAGGTGCCCTTTAGGAAGGCACCGAACCCTCAAATGTTCAGGCCGCCTGTCCATGGGCAGCCCCCTCAATCTGACATCCAACAGGATAAAAAAAGTATATTAATAGAGTACGTCTTATTCATCTTTCCTTCTTCTTGGTCAGGAAGTTGTGGCTGTTGATGTTGTTTGCTGTTATTACAGACGCAACACTTCCTTCATGCTTCCCTCTTCTGTTAAGAAAATAATTTGCTTTGAGTTTCTTTCCATAAACAAAAAGTCTGATTTGATTCACTACTTATTTCCAGTTGCTTTCAGTTTGTGTTTCAATCAGTGTTAAAAGAATACTTCACCCACAACATGACCATTTGTATATCAATTATTCACCCGTGTTATCTTGAATTTGTGAAGAAAACTTGTTTTTTTTGTCAGTCCATAAGGAATCCAAAAACAGAAAATTCTTGATGAACTAAAATAAAGGGGTACCACGTTTAACAACAGCAAAACTATATCCAAGCATTTGTTTACAGACTCTCAGACAGCTCTTGCAGTTGTGTGGTCAGTACTTTGCAAACTCATTTTCCCTAAAACCTTACTATTTAAAACTTTTCTGCCGCAACAGTTGAGCAGAGTTTGAAGGCAAGGCAAGGCAAGGCAATTTTATTTATATAGCACCATTCATACATAAGGCAATTCAGTGTGCTTTGCAAGAGAAATACGTTAAGATAAAACATTAAAGGAACAATAGATCATTAAAAACAAAAGCTAAAAGCAAGAAAAACAGTGCAGAAAATGCATTTAAAAAGCAAACATAAAGCAAAAGCAACAGCAGACAAATATAAAAACAATAGCTACAGATTATCTTAACAATAAGTTACATATCTAGTTCACTGGTAAGCTGCAGTAAATAGTAATGTTTTAAGCCCTGATTTAAATGAGTTGACAGTTTCAGCCGACCTCAGATATTCTGGAAGTTTGTTCCACAGACGGGGAGCATAGAAACTAAAGGCTGCTTCACCTTGTTTGGTTTTGATCCTGGGAACACTGAGTAAACCTGTTCCAGATGATCTGAGGGGTCTGGATGCTTCATAACGTACAAGTATATCAGAGCTGTATTTAGGCCAGAGACCATTTAGTGCTTTATAGACAAGTAACAAGATTTTAAAGTCTATCCTTTGACACACAGGAAGCCAGTGCAGTGACTTAAGCACTGGTGTAATGTGCTCCACTCTCTTGGTGTTGGTGAGGACTCTGGCAGCAGCGTTCTGGACGAACTGCAGTTGTCTGATTGATTTTTTACTCAGGCCTGTGAAGACACCGTTACAATAGTCCAGCCTGCTGAAAATGAAAGCATGAACAAGTTTTTCTGTATCTTGTTTAGACAGAAATTCTTTTATTCTTGCTATGTTTTCAAGGTGGTAGTAGGCTGATTTAGTAATTGTCTTAATGTGACTATTGAAATTTAGGTCTGAGTCCAGAACTACACCAAGATTTCTGGCTTGATTTGTAGGTTTTAGTGTCATGGCGTCAAGGTGAGCACTGACTATTGATCTTTGTTCTTTGGGGCCAAAAACAACTATCTCAGTTTTTTCTGTGTTTAGTTGTAGAAAATTCTGGCACATCCACGTATTGATTTCGTCAATGCACTTATTTAGCAGATATAGGGGACTGTAGTCATCTGGTGACACTGTTATGTAAAGTTGTGTGTCATCTGCATAAGTATGGTAGGAGATGTTATGATATTCCATAATCTGAGCAAGAGGGAGCATATAGATGTTGAACGGAAGAGGCCCAAGAATGGACCCTTGAGGAACTCCACATGTAATCTTTGTTCGCTGCAGTCTTCAGGGCCATTGGAAAAAGGCCTGACTGAAGAGAACAGTTGACTATCTGTAGTATATCTGATGCTATGCAGTTAAAACATCTTTAAAAAAAGCTTGAGGGTCAAGGCAGCAGGTAGTGAACCTAAGGTTTCTAACTATGTCTGTCAAAGTAGCATAATTTAATGGGTGAAAAAGTGCCAAATTAACTGGAGTAGTCTTATGAGGCACAGGTGAAATAGCCACTGTGTTGAACACACGTGCTTGCCTGTGCGTGCTACTTGTATTCAGGAATGTTTTGAACAGTAAGCTTTTAGTGAAAATGTGTTTAGGAAGCACTGAGCAGGGGATCCATCAGGGTGGACGTGTACTGTAAGTGTTATGCACATGGCTCTAAAATGTTCCGTCTGTTATTTTGTGTTTACAAAGACATCCAAGTGAGGCAGACAGAAAACGATAAGATGCCCAAAGGTGTAACTATTAGAGTCTGTGTCTGTGGTGCAGTCTGGGGCACTGGCAATGGTTTTGCTTTGAAGCGCTGTTGCTTTGTCTCCTGCCTAGGACACATTCCAGAGTGCCATTTCCCTGAAAAGGTTTCTATTCACAGTTCTGATGAGGCAACAAAGTCTCAGTCTCTTAGCTGTGTGCTGAAACATATTATAGTTCAGACCAAACCAGTAAATATGCTTTAGTAATAAATCAATTTAAAGTGCTAGGAAGGTATTTATGTGAAATGAAACATTTATTGACATTTAATTTGAAAATTTGTGCAGGCCTGCTGGGTTCGACTAAAGGTAATTGTACAGAGATTGAAAGAAACTCAGCATAAAATAATACAATATTTTTGATGAAAAGAGAAACTCAGAGCTGCAGTCTGGTATATTGATGAAATTAGGTCTGTGGAGCTGTATATGAAGCTGGATTTACCATGTGAGCTGTATAAATCAATGTTTTATTTACCATACCTGTACAGCTACTGGCCTTTTGTTCTTGCTAGTATTTCAATTCAGGCATATTTGAGAACTCTGAAATCATACCTGGAAGTAAAGTATAGTCATTTCTACCCTTTGTTCTCCCCAGATCCGATGGACCAAGACAGCCGGCAGTGTGTCGGACCGCTTCCAGGACTCCAGTGTGTTCAACGAGACGTTGCACATTGCAGAGATCCTGAGGACCCAGGGAGGTCGCTACTACTGCAAGGCTGAGAACGGCCTTGGATCTCCTGCCATCAAGTCCATCAGGGTGGACGTCTACTGTAAGTGTGATGATATACTATGTGGCTGAGAGATATTCCCTCTGTTATTATGTGTTTATTAGACCCAATTTAATTTTTTATTTTCACCCCGACCCATTAATTTCGAGGGTCCCTTCGACCCTTTGAGCAGAGTTACGAGGGTAGTTGTTGGAATCTTCCACTATGAAATGGGATAACCTGTCAAGACCCTGATGCGTCATCAGTAGCTCTTGATGTTGTTTATGTAAACAGACAGCACTATGGCAGTAATGGTACTATCACAATGACATTTGCCATTTATCTAAAGGAGACAGAAAAGCATGGACTCTTGTAACTGCTCTAAGACTGCAAGGGAAGCTCAGCTTCCCCTAAAATGTCAAAAATAAGTGGTCAAATATGTACTGTTGTGTTTACATTTCATTGACTAAATATGCGCTAGAACGCCTTCAACTTTTGTTCAGAATCAGCTACTTATCACAGGTCACTGACGCGACTTTCTTCTCATTCATTCCCGTAGCGTCACAGTGCATTAAACAGTGGAAGCTCAGTGTCCAAAGACTTCAGTGGGGAAACATAGAGTGGGTTGTTCCACTGCAGCGAAACTAGACAGTCATTGGATAAATGCTTGGTTTTGTCCCGCCCATCGGACGCTCAGCGTCTCTGGGGGTCTATGGGGCAGTGGGCTGGCCACAGCTGGCCTGGACACTGGGCTTCTGCATGATGATTGGATGATCTGTCTGAGGCTGAATCCCTTTTTGATTGACAGCGAAATGAGCGAATCAGCAATCTTGAAATATAAACCACTGGAGCATTTTTCAAGTTTCATTCCGTTGATCTGGAGACTCTTCCAATCCTCTTAGTGACTTTTTCTTTGTTAAAAATGACTAGCGACAAATCTAGCATCTTCTTCTGGTGTTATTGGAGACTGTACTCGTGTTTGGAGACTCTGACTTCTGTTGCTCTGCAGTTACTGTCCCCAACGAGCAGCGGGTGCTGCTGTGAGTCCCTCCGCCGTCCCAAAGCACTCACAGGCGGTCACACTAGCCTCGCGCAGCAGCCCCAGAGGGTAGAGTTTACATATCAATAAACGGACACATTTTATGATGTAGGCCGAAAATGAGCTTCCCCTCCTTGAAAGACCAGCAGCCGCCACTGGTCACAACTTAACCTTCAAGCAGTTAATCTATCAAACAGGTCATCAAATAAGAAAGAACAGTGCTTCATTACCAGGCCGCTAGCTATGCTCTGTAAGCTAACGTTAGCAACCTGTGCTCTTACCCTGCCAGTCTGCACTGACATTAGAGGAGCCCTAACAAGTGCAGCAGCTTTTCTCCGGGGCTTAAATTAACTTTTGGGCGTTATATCATCAAAAGGGGAGAATGTGATATGAAAATATGTCAAAATACCAGACTGTCATGCACAAATCAGCAATGATAATGTAACGTTAGCTAGCTAGCTAGTGAGCTACTGAGATATCAGAATGCTATTAGTGATTATTTTGTTATGGTTGTGACAAAGAAAAGGACCATGAAACATTGAACTAATAACCTGTAATATATCCTAAGACAGTATGAGGGTTATTGTAATTTTATAATATTTATAACAAAGTAAAGACATTTGTGAGTTTCTTTGGTTGCTTATGTGCAGCCAGTTTGCCCATAATTTCTCACAACACTGGGTTTGGGGTGTGCTTCTGAAAAACTTTTGTTTGTAGCCTGAAAACTTCGCCCTAGATGTGAACATGCAAAACGGAGGGATAAGGGCTAACTGGTAGGGGCAAGGAGTGTTTTGGGTCTCAGCCTTGGAGTCTGTAGCCCTTTTTACACAGAGATCGCGCTATAGGGCCACTACAAAGTCCCTTCCTTATTCCACCTTTGCATTTTTACACAGAACCAAACAACAGCGGCATCATGCTGCTCCAGTGTGTGATTTTAGATAGCATTCCAGCACTGTGGAATCAAAAGAGGTGTGACGGGTGGGCGTGACATGTAACACGACAACATCATCCTGTAGTGTGACAGGTAACATATGCATCGGCAGTGATTTATAAACAATAATGTAGTGACTAGCCCTATTCTTTAGCTACTACTGGTTGCTAATTGGCTGAATTGTTTGGATGTGTACTCAGAAAACTATTCCCAATCTTTACCAATGCTGTATGTCATCATGCACTTATTTCTCACTGGTGTACTTCCAATAAATACAGCCATATAAATTTTATTCCGAGCACAGTCAAAAACTGTTTACGTCAAAACATCAACAACACCCGTGCTTACTGGCATGAACTTAAATACTTTAACTTAACTTAATAAGCCTCCTAGTGGCGTGGCGGGATACATTAACACAAATCAAACATGTGGCTCCAACAAATAACAATGGCATGACATGGCAACAACAATCATTTACCATCCCTGTTATTTGGTGGCAGATCTCGCCCTCTGCTCGGAGCTCCCGGACATCAGTAGCCATGTTTCCATCAGCCTGTTTAGATGCGCATCTGGAAGTATTGCATCTGAAAATTATGATGGAAACGCCAAAATTCGAATTAAAATCCCCTGATTCACACAAACTAAAATACGCTCGCTTTAGCCGGGTTTTGGTTGATTAAAAAAAATGTTGATTCGCAAAACGGGGGATGGAAACAGTTATGTTTGAATTAAGTCTGACGTAGCGCACCTCTCTCCATGGTGATATCCACACTCCGGGTCGGGAAGGCGGTAATGCATTTACAAGCTGGTTGCCAACCGCCAGAAAACGTAGAAGAAGAAGAATGCGAGACTTGTTTTGTTTCCGGTTCTGCGGAAAACTCGCAAGTTCGTAGTTTTCACCAAAGTCCGTACATTTAATGGAAACACACAGGATTCGTATTTCTTTAATTGCGCATTTCCCAATGATTCGAATCACTTTTGGATGGAAACATAGCCTGTGTTTTCCCGATTTGTAGACATTTTCGGTTGGACTTCTTCATTGAGTTAGCCTCTAACTGCTATCAGCTACTTTTTAATCTCCTGCTGTGGGTCTCAGTCATAACACATTGTCAAAACATCACACCCGTACCGCCCATGATCCCATCCTGCTGGCTGTCCCCTTTATACAGACATCTTTTCAGAGCTGTTACTACCTCCGATGCAACTCTGTCCACCCTTCCGCGATTGTACCTTTTATACAGAACAGCAAGGCGGCATAATGGGGTGACATTCCTGCCTTGAAGAGGCAGTGTAAAAGGGACTGTTAGTCTAGCCAAGGTGTTCCTTTGCCTCCTGCCCAGGACACCTTCCAGACAGTCATTACCCTGAGAAGGTTTCTATTCACAGTTCTGATTCTGCAACTACTAAGTCTCTTATCAGTGTAGTAAACCGTATTTTAGTGCAGTTCCAGTGCAGTTAGCTTTTAAACTGTAACTAGTAAATATGCTTTAGTATTAAATTAATGTAAAATGTTAGGAAAGAAATTATTAAATGAAATGTGCTGAAAATGTTTTGCATTTCTAAACTACAGAAGAATCAACATATGAACACGGACAGCCGCAGCACAGACGATTAGTGCTGATCAGTGTGTAACAGCATGAAACCTTACAGCCCAGTGTAGCAAATATCTCTGCTGTAAATGAAAATGTAGTTACTTGGAGGTAAAGCATCCAAAGAGCCCTGCGTTCTCCTGAGAACGTTAATTAAGCTAAAACACCTTTATTATCCTGACACGGCCATCGACTGTAAGCGCAACCGCTCTATTTTTAAAGTATCTGTGTGACAAACGGTGGAGGCTCATTAGCATTCATCAAAGAAAACAGTGATGTATTGTTATTGTTTTTATTGACCCGGCATTGATTGTCCTATTTCACCTCGTGAGTGGTCGAAGAACTGCGAGACAGGAGAGTCGCTGGCCTTTCATCACAGCCGGACCCTCAGACAACCTCTGACAAGCAGGAGTTTAAATCCAATGAGTAATAGTGTAGGTGTTTTGTAATCAGCAGTTTCAAGGGCAGATCTCTAGTCTTACTGTTTCAGCTTTAGAAATTCTTATTCATTTTAAATAATGTGTTTAAAAGATCTTGCCGCCTTAAATATTCACTCTGCTTCAGCCTTCACTCCTTTTATTCCTGATTTCCTTTATATGACCAGCTGCAAAGAAAGAACATGCTTTATTTAATCTAATATAAATCTAATATAAGCAGTGACCTCTCTTAATTTGTCACCAAACATCCAATTTTCAGTCACAGAGGAAACAAAGAGGCAGTGGAGCAGGACATTTTTGCGCTGACTAAGGTGCTCTTTCCAGCTGGTGACACCTTTCCAGTAAAGCCTACGTTCATTTGATGCATTGTAGGAATTTGAACACCGTCTCCTGTCTGTTATGGACCTCGCCCCCTCCTCTCCTCTCCTCTGCCCATATTTTCTTTCCAGTCTCTGTCTTATTCTTTCGCCCTGTGTGCGAGCCACATCCTTGTATCTGTTTATTTGGACTGACGCGGCCAAAGGTTGTGGAATTGAAAGTTGTTTAGAAAGCTGTTGTGGAAGGTCTTCGTGGAGCAGCTGAGCAGGGGCTGAATGTATCTCAGTAGCTGACAGTCAGAGGCCTCGTTCCCTCCGTGCACCGTTTCACCTTGGCTGCACTAAAGAGCCAGAGGAACAGACGCGGTAGTGAAGCTGAAAAACACACCAGAGACAGACCCGAGGATAATCAGAGAGCGTGGATGCTCGGTGAGCCTTGTTTTGAGGTCAGAGTTTTCACCCTGTTGATGCACTGAAATTGCAAAGTTTATATGTGAGATATTATAAATAAGATCAGATAAGAATTTATGAAAATAGATGAAGATAGATTTGAATTAAATGTATAAAAATGCAATAACAAGTTGAAGGAAACAGATGAGATTTATAAACAGCGGTGGGATGTAACTCAGCACATTTCTACACACTTTCTACTTCTACTCCTCTCCTTTGAGTACTTTTACTTTTAATACTTAAATATATTTTCCTGATTATACTTTACACACTTTTACTTAAGCAACTATTCAATACAGG